TCCCGAACCCGGTGGCTTAAAACTCACGCCGGGTGCGTGTGCGTGCCCAAGATCCCGAGAGGAGAATGGAGAAGGGATTGCAGCGTGACCATCCCCCTGGGGGGTGATTTCTCGCTTTCTGTCTCTCTGTCTCTGTCTGTCTGGTGAGTGCACGCGCCCTATAGCCAAAACCTCTCCAAAAAAAAAAAAAAAGGGAGGGCGAAAGAGAAAGTGCCTGGCAGACCTGCTGCCTTGCCCCTCTCCCTCCCCCGGTTTGCAGGGCTCTGGGCACAGGTGCTGGTCTGGCTCGATTGACCCCAGTGACTGGGCCAGGTCCGGCAGTGCTGGGGCCAGCCTTCACCTACAGCTGCTCCACAGCCTGGGGCAAGGGCGCAGGAGAGCCCGTGTGAGGGGAAGCCCGGACAAAACCAAGTCTCTGCTGCGCTCCGGGGAGGAAGAGAGGACAATGCTTGTCCCACTGTCACTTGCTCCGTTCCCTGACCTGCAGCCCTGCCCAGGGCTTCCTGAGCAGTTAGACAATGTTTAAGAGGAGAGGGAGAGAGTGAGCCATGTGGGAGCGAGGGCAGCAAACAGGGCTGCCTTTGCAGCCTGGCCAGCCTGGGCTGAGGACCTTCACGGAGGGGGTGGCAGCCCTCACCCTGGCCCTCTCCACCCCTCTCTGAAGCAAGTGCCCCACCACTGTCCTGGTCTCTCAAAGCAAGGCAGGGAGGTTCTGGCACCTCAGGCATCCCTATGGATACAGAGCATGCCCCGCGCCAGGCCAGGTCCCCAGGGTCCCTTCATGAGGGCTCCAACCTCCGGGCTGGAGGGAGGACTGGCCCGACCCCTGCCTTGCCCACTGGCTCCCAGCCTAGCAGATCCCTGACAGGCTTGCTGCTGCTTAGTGGCACCTGGAAGTCGCACCTTCCAGAACCAGGGAGCTGGCAGAGGAGGAGGGGGAGGAGGAGGAGAAGTCAACTTACTTGTTGAGATCGCTGCTCCCAAGTCCCAGGGATGCTAACTTCTGGGCGTCCCTCAGAGGCCAACGGAGGCAGGCTTTGGAGGGGACTCTGCCGGACTGGGCAAACCCGGAGCTCAGAGCCCCATCTGGGGTCCTTAGGGCACAGGCAGCAAAGCCAGCGGGCCCCTCGGTCCACTGTCTTGTCCCTCAGTCACTCCTTCCTGCAGCCAGAGCAGCTGCGGGCGCCCTCTCCCTCTCGCTCTCCCTCTCGCTCTCCCTCCCTCTAGCTCTGTCTCCTGCTCTCTCTCCCTCTCCAGCTCTCTCTCCCGCTCCTCCACCCTCTTCTCTCAAAGGCTCTCTCTCTAGGCCCCACAATGAATCCCTGGGCGATAACCTGATTTAAAGGGCCCTGGGCCAAAGCAGTGGGGCTTTGGGGCTGGGGCGACTAGGACAGAGGATAGGCGATAGGCAGGGCAGTGAGGACTAGCAGGCAGGGGAGGGCTGGCTGGAGAGAGCCAGGGCAGAAGGGCGGAGACACCCAGTGGCAGGCAGCCTGGGGCCCCACCTCTGCGCTGTCCTGGCCAGCTGCTGGGTACTGGGCTGCTCAGGACAGCGACCTGTGCGACCCCTGCACGCCCGTGTGCACGTACATGTGTAAGTGCCCGTGCTCCTGTGTATGTGTTCTCATGAGTGCCCGTGCCCGTGTGTGAGAGCCCTGGGTTGTGTGTGAGCACCCCGTGTGTGTGAGAGAGCGTGTGTGAGCACCCTGGGCCAAGGTGGGTGGCTGCCTCCTTCGGGTTCCCTGCCAAGAAGGAGGATTATTCAAGAATTCATTGTTTAATCCTGCCAGGTGCGGGAGAGGCAGCTGGGGGGACAAGGCTGCTGTCCTGGGGTCCAGCAGGTGAGTCTGAGAACTGCTCCTTTGGAGTGGCCTTTTTTCTGTTCTACCTGGGGTGTGACCTCTGTCCCTTCTCGGTCTGGTCCCAGCTTTCTGGGTTCAACCCCACAGGCTTCCAGGCCTGAGTACGTCTCCTCTCTGGAGTGTAGACTGAGCGGTGGGAGCCTGCTGTGTCCCCAGTCCGGAAGCAGCCGCCCGCCCAGAATTGATGTGGGCACAGCAAAGCCAGCTAATTAAGCCAACACGAGAAGGATGTGCCCAGCCTGCCCTCTCCCCAAGCACGGCCACACACTGCATCTTCGCTAGTGACGGCAGCTGCCTGGGAGCTCCCCTGGGTGAGGCCACAGCGCACAGCGCACAGCCGGGCACAGAGCCGCCTTGTCGCGTCTGCCTGCTGGGGGCCCCTTCTCTTCCCCTGTCTTGTCCCCCAGTCACTCCTTCCTGCAGCCAGAGCAGCTGCGGGCGCCCTCTCCCTCTCGCTCTCCCTCTCGCTCTCCCTCCCTCTAGCTCTGTCTCCTGCTCTCTCTCCCTCTCCAGCTCTCTCTCCCGCTCCTCCACCCTCTTCTCTCAAAGGCTCTCTCTCTAGGCCCCACAATGAATCCCTGGGCGATAACCTGATTTAAAGGGCCCTGGGCCAAAGCAGTGGGGCTTTGGGGCTGGGGCGACTAGGACAGAGGATAGGCGATAGGCAGGGCAGTGAGGACTAGCAGGCAGGGGAGGGCTGGCTGGAGAGAGCCAGGGCAGAAGGGCGGAGACACCCAGTGGCAGGCAGCCTGGGGCCCCACCTCTGCGCTGTCCTGGCCAGCTGCTGGGTACTGGGCTGCTCAGGACAGCGACCTGTGCGACCCCTGCACGCCCGTGTGCACGTACATGTGTAAGTGCCCGTGCTCCTGTGTATGTGTTCTCATGAGTGCCCGTGCCCGTGTGTGAGAGCCCTGGGTTGTGTGTGAGCACCCCGTGTGTGTGAGAGAGCGTGTGTGAGCACCCTGGGCCAAGGTGGGTGGCTGCCTCCTTCGGGTTCCCTGCCAAGAAGGAGGATTATTCAAGAATTCATTGTTTAATCCTGCCAGGTGCGGGAGAGGCAGCTGGGGGGACAAGGCTGCTGTCCTGGGGTCCAGCAGGTGAGTCTGAGAACTGCTCCTTTGGAGTGGCCTTTTTTCTGTTCTACCTGGGGTGTGACCTCTGTCCCTTCTCGGTCTGGTCCCAGCTTTCTGGGTTCAACCCCACAGGCTTCCAGGCCTGAGTACGTCTCCTCTCTGGAGTGTAGACTGAGCGGTGGGAGCCTGCTGTGTCCCCAGTCCGGAAGCAGCCGCCCGCCCAGAATTGATGTGGGCACAGCAAAGCCAGCTAATTAAGCCAACACGAGAAGGATGTGCCCAGCCTGCCCTCTCCCCAAGCACGGCCACACACTGCATCTTCGCTAGTGACGGCAGCTGCCTGGGAGCTCCCCTGGGTGAGGCCACAGCGCACAGCGCACAGCCGGGCACAGAGCCGCCTTGTCGCGTCTGCCTGCTGGGGGCCCCTTCTCTCTGCACAGGGATCCATCCCCAGTGCGGCCACAGCTGGTCCTGGTGACCAGGAAACCTCTGTCCTCCTAGGACATGAAGCTGTTTCATGTTGGTTGATCTTATGATTTAAAACTGAGAAGACACTTGAATCTTTTCTTTTTTTAAACATTGTTTCTTCTGAGAGAGAAAGACAGAAGGAGAAGAACAGAGGACCCACCAGGGTCCTCAGAGCCACTCCTCCCTCAGCCAGGCCCCGTGTGTGTGTGTGTGTGTGTGTGTGTGTGTGTGTGTGTGTGCGTGTGCGCGCACTGTGCACAGGTGAAGCCCTGGGCTGTGAATTCGGCCACCTTCTTGTGTGGTCAAGTTGCCGTATCAACTAGGCCCTGGGGTCCAGAAGGTTTTTTTTTGTTTAAGAGATTTTTGCTAAAGGGCATGTGTACTCTCCAAACGGAAAGTGAGAAGTCACCCATCGTTGCCTTGCCCGTCTCTTCTCCATTCTCCTCACGGGCTTTTGGACATGCACACACACACACACACACACACACACACACACACCTGGCGCGAGTTTCAAGCCACCGAGTGTGGACCAAAACCGCAGCTGACTCCGTGGGAGCCCAACGCCTTATCCACCACGCCACCTGGCCTGCAAGGCTGTTCTTAATTTCCACATCTAGTTCTTGGCAGAGGGCTTAGCTGTGACGCCCTGAGGTCCAGAGAGCACGCAAGCACGCAGGGTATTTAAGCGGCCTGCTGGCACGCTGTGTCCTGGGCTGGCTAGGCCTTTGGGTTAAATATGAAGACCAGGGTATCCTGCCCTAACAGGAGGGCCTGGCTCACTCCAAGGCAGAATGTAGACATCGATTTGCAAATACTCTCTCAGTGATGGGGCTTTGGACCGGGACACAGATTAGCTCTACCTGGTTCTTAGCCGAGCACTGAAAAGTGAGAAGTGTGTGTGTGTTGGGGGGGCACCCGACCTGCTGGTGTGCTCTCAGACAAGCCCAAGTCTCCCAAAGAGCACAGACGATGTGGGTGCAGGGACACTCACAAAGCCACTCTTCGCAAGGTGGTAAGTGCGTCCTTTGTCTGGAAATTGGTGGAGGCAGCAGAGAGCTGGTGTCCTTGTGGCTGTCGCGTTAAGTAGCTTGAACACTACACCACACACGTGTGTGTATGCCCAAAATTCCGAGAGGAGAGATTGAGACATGGCCAGGCCCCGTGTGTGTGTGTGTGTGTGTGTGTGTGTGTGTGTGTGTGTGCGTGTGCGCGCACTGTGCACAGGTGAAGCCCTGGGCTGTGAATTCGGCCACCTTCTTGTGTGGTCAAGTTGCCGTATCAACTAGGCCCTGGGGTCCAGAAGGTTTTTTTTTGTTTAAGAGATTTTTGCTAAAGGGCATGTGTACTCTCCAAACGGAAAGTGAGAAGTCACCCATCGTTGCCTTGCCCGTCTCTTCTCCATTCTCCTCACGGGCTTTTGGACATGCACACACACACACACACACACACACACACACACACCTGGCGCGAGTTTCAAGCCACCGAGTGTGGACCAAAACCGCAGCTGACTCCGTGGGAGCCCAACGCCTTATCCACCACGCCACCTGGCCTGCAAGGCTGTTCTTAATTTCCACATCTAGTTCTTGGCAGAGGGCTTAGCTGTGACGCCCTGAGGTCCAGAGAGCACGCAAGCACGCAGGGTATTTAAGCGGCCTGCTGGCACGCTGTGTCCTGGGCTGGCTAGGCCTTTGGGTTAAATATGAAGACCAGGGTATCCTGCCCTAACAGGAGGGCCTGGCTCACTCCAAGGCAGAATGTAGACATCGATTTGCAAATACTCTCTCAGTGATGGGGCTTTGGACCGGGACACAGATTAGCTCTACCTGGTTCTTAGCCGAGCACTGAAAAGTGAGAAGTGTGTGTGTGTTGGGGGGGCACCCGACCTGCTGGTGTGCTCTCAGACAAGCCCAAGTCTCCCAAAGAGCACAGACGATGTGGGTGCAGGGACACTCACAAAGCCACTCTTCGCAAGGTGGTAAGTGCGTCCTTTGTCTGGAAATTGGTGGAGGCAGCAGAGAGCTGGTGTCCTTGTGGCTGTCGCGTTAATTAGAACAGGCTCACCTTCCCTGTCCCGGCCTTTCACTCTCTTTCATCGAGCCGGAAATGAATCTGCAGCACAAGTTTTCTCTTTAGAGGAAATTATTTTTTATTCTATTTATAGAAATCCCATTTGCATTTATGAGGCTGGTTATGTCTCATAAATATTTCCTGCTAGATAAAATATTAATTAAAAGAGTTTGTTGAGTTATACTCTGAAATCCTAACTAGATCTCTCTAAGACAAATATCTTACCTATTTCTCTCACGTCAGGAGAGTCCCTCAAGTGGTGGCCGTGTGTCAATAAGCGTGGCTATAAGCAGCAGCAGTCTAGCAACCAAGGCGGTATTTCCCAACGTCGAGCGGATGGCCCTGGGGCTCCAGCGGTACTGGACACCGACACGGGCCCCTCGTCCTTCCTCAGCGGAGGAGCGGCAGCCGGATTGGGCATTTCTTTCTTATCGTTGTTTCTCTTCATTTTGTTTTCTTGCCAGAGGTTGTGTGTTTACTAGAGGGTGAGAGAGAGGGAGGAAGCAGCCTCTCCACAATGGGATGTAGCCCCTGCAGACCTCTCTGTCCCGTGGGTGCGTGGGTGCGGTCACCGTACACCCCTCCGCCCCGTGGGCGTGGTCACCACACTCCCCTCCGCCCCCCGGGCACGGTCACCGCACTCCCATCAGGGTCTGGAGCGTGCATACTTGCCTGATGTGGTTGTCAAACTACCGGGGCCAGGATTTGAACTGTGGTCGGTCACATGGCACCTGCTTTCCGTGCAAGTGCATACCCACTATGCGCCGGGACCAGCCCAGCCCACTGTTTATGCCGAACCACACGCGTTCACACACACACGCACTTGATCAGCGGGTGCCGACAGATGTGAGCGTGTTCTATCCACGAGCTCTTCTGGGTGACGTAGACCGTGGTGTCTGAGACACTGTGACAGGTGCTGTGTGAAAACCCAGAACGTGTGAGGTGGGC